GGGAGCAGAAGCTTTTTGCTAAGTTGAGCAAGTGCAGTTTCTGGCAGCGAGAGATGGGATTTCTTGGCCACATTGTTTCTGCAGAGGGAGTTTCTGTGGATCCGGCTAAGATTGAGGCTATCAGAGATTGGCCTAGACCTAGTAGTGCCACCGAGATCAGGAGTTTTCTGGGTTTGGCAGGATACTACAGGAGGTTCGTCAAGGGGTTTGCTACCATGGCGCAGCCGATGACGAAGTTGACCGGGAAGGATGTCCCTTTGTTTGGTCAGCTGAGTGTGAGGAGAGCTTTAGTCAGCTCAAGGAGATGTTGACTACTACACCAGTGTTGGCGTTACCCGAGCCAGGGAAGCCTTACATGGTGTATACAGATGCTTCAGGCATTGGTCTTGGTTGTGTGCTGATGCAGGAGGGCAGAGTGATAGCATATGCTTCGAGACAGTGGCAGGGCAGTGAGCGTAACCGTCCTACACATGACTTAGAGTTGGGAGCAGTGATCTTCGCGTTGAAGATTTGGAGGTCTTACTTGCTAGGTGAGACAGTACAGGTCTTCACGGATCACAAGAGTTTGCAGCATATCTTCACTCAGCCGATGATGAACGCGAGACAGACGCGCTGGGTTGAGTTCTTGGCGGATTATCAGGTGAGCATTAACTACCATCCGGGCAAGGCTAACCTAGTGGCGGACGCGTTGAGTAGACGGAGGTATGATTCCGCAGTTGAGCGAGATGTGGAGTCTCTAGTTGGCGAGATCAGTACCTTGCGTTTGTGTGCCATTTCGCAGGAGCCTTTGGGTTTAGAGGCAGTGGATCAGGCGGATCTACTTAGCAGGATCAGAGTTGCTCAGCAGAGTGATCAGAGTTTGCTAGATGCGACGAGAGTGACTGGTTCTGAGTATGAGGTCTCTGCGAATGGGACTATCTTGGTTCGTGGGCGAGTTTGTGTGCCTAAGGATGTGGAGTTGAGACATCAGATTTTGGGAGAGGCTCACGCGAGCAAGTTTTCCATTCATCCGGGAGCGACCAAGATGTACCATGACCTCAAGAGGTACTATCATTGGGTCGGGATGAAGAGGGATGTAGCAGACTGGGTTGCGAAGTGCAACACTTGTGCCTTGGTGAAGGCAGAGCATCAGGTTCCGGGTGGTCTTTTGCAGAGTTTACCCATTCCAGAGTGGAAGTGGGACAGGATTACGATGGATTTCGTGGTTGGACTACCTGTTTCGAGGACTTTCGATGCTATCTGGGTGATTGTGGATCGGTTGACTAAGTCCGCACATTTCTTGGCCATCAAGAAGACAGATGGAGCTGCTGTCTTGGCTAGGAAGTTTGTGCGAGAGATTGTGAGGCTGCATGGAGTGCCAGCTAGTATTGTGTCAGACCGTGATCCCAGATTCACTTCAGAGTTTTGGAGGCTTTTCAGGCAGAGATGGGCACTAAGGTGCATCTGAGTACAGCTTATCATCCGCAGACAGATGGTCAGTCAGAGAGGACTATTCAGACTTTGGAGGATTTGCTGAGGATGTGTGTGTTGGATTGGGGTGGCCATTGGGCAGATCACCTGAGCTTAGTTGAGTTTGCATACAACAACAGCTTTCAGGCGAGTATTGGCATGGCTCCATTTGAGGCTTTGTATGGGAGGCCATGTAGGACACCCNATAGGTGTTAGACAATAAAAAATATGTCAGTTTACATTAGAAATTTTATTGAGTGATATATATATTTTTTAGCCTCGATTGGAATATGACGAAATATTAAGTGACATAGTTGAATCTACATATATATCTTTTAATAAGTTTGAAATAGTTTTATATGACATATATATTTAATATTTTTGATAAATTTTAAATAACTAAAATAGTTTAACTTATATATTAAGTTATTAGATTTTATTATGATTTATTTATTTAGTTCAATTAAAGAACAAAATTAAATCAAATTAAAAAAAAAGTTTGGAAACCTAATAAATCAGTTTTTTTTTACTATGGTTGATCATTATTTGGATCTTTTTTTATAATAGGTTTTTGAACTACCATCCCAAAATATAATCGATATGAGACTTTTAACAATTTTAGAGATTTGCTTCATTTTAAAATTTTCAAATCATAGCATATGCAGAAAAAGCTAATTTTGTTTTATGAAATATTTTGATGTAATGATATAGTTTATTTTTGAAAAAGTAAAGTTAAAAAAATGATAAGATAATAAATTATTTTTAAACAATTAATATAATACAATTAAATAAATTTTTCCATATTTTACTGATTGATTGACTAATAAATACTTTTAAATTTATTTATAATTTTCGTCATACCAGATAAGGAAATAGAAAAAAACTAATTTTAATTAATAATTATTTTTCTGATTAAATTAATAATAGATATTTCAGCACTTGCCTAATAAAGAGAGGTTATTTTTAGAATATTATGAGAGTGTGGCAAATTGCGACACCTCAGCATGGCATACTTGAAATTAAGTTGAAAACAAATGGGATTTTTATAAATGTCTTTTCTTTTAATATATAGATTAAGACCCGCGTATACGCGGGTTTATTTTAAGATTTTGTAATAAAGTCATGGAAAAGTATTAAACCAAATTTGATATTTTAAAGTAAACAGAATAATATTAAAAACCCGATAAAAATATTTAAATAAAATAAGATCGGTAACCTTTTTTACGTTTTTATTGTAATTGATATTTTTTTGAATTCATGATATGAAAAATGAATTAATTTGTTTTATTTTTATTTTTATCCAATATAGAAAGACTTATATATGTCTAAATATGATCAACTGATTAATTAATTCAACAAAACTTTATTATTCCATTCAAGAGATTTCAATTGATGAAATCTTTATTTAATAATTTTTTACCTAACAATATTGAAAATTAAACTATTTAAAATTAGAATATCGGTTCATTATATTTTCTTAATATAGTTAGTTGCTTGATGATGTCAAAAAAAAAGTTAGTTGCTTGATAATTAATTTGTTAGTTTTCTATTTATATTGTTTCTTTCTCAATTTTGTTTTTGACTCAGACCATTATAAATTTTCATTTTCATTATTAGTTAGTTTTTTTTTTATTTTTCTAGTTTTTATATCTGTTTAACATTTTTCCAATTAACATGTCTTCACTGGATCAAATACATGTAACGACAATAATTTTGATTTCTATCCAACCGATATAGAGTTAGATACATGTATCGACAATAATTTTGATTTCTATCCAACTAATATAGAGTTAAATATTATTCATTGATACCATGAATTTTAAATACATGATTTTTTATGAGAGAAAAGATTATACAAAAGATAGAAGCACATAATTGAATCGCAATAGCTTATTATATATTGTTTTTTTCCTGTTCATAATGGGAATATAAACACATATCGCAATTTTGTGAGTTATAAAAATCATGCGTATTGCTATCATGTTGTTTGCTTTGATGAGTTTGTGAATGAGAAAAAAAACTACTTTAACTCTCTTTTTATAGGGGTTCATGTAACTTATTCCATGCAGTTATAGGAAATTTAGTTTACCTAACCTATTTCATGTACTAATAGGATTTTATTTATTTCATTAATTTGAATCTTATATGTGTTTGGATAATATAAATTTGATGAATGGAAACCTTTTTCTATTAGGATATGACAAATATATTTTTTTTTCTTTTAACTATAAAAGATTAAAATTTCGTTTTTTTTTTATTATTTTTTAATTATTTTTTTTTCCTTTTTTCTAAGACACATGTCACGATCTTAACGGACATAACATTAAAAGTGACACATGTCGCAATCCTAAATTTTATAAAAATCCTACGTGTCGCAACCACGTCGCGCGCATCCAGCTTTATCTATCTACTAGATTAGGCCCCGCGTATACGCGAGTTTATTTCTTTTTATTTTTTTAAATCACGGAAGAATATTGTAACATCCATAAACCAAAAATAAAAATTGGGAATTTTGTCGGTTCAATTTAAGTGAATTGGTTTGGGTCGGTTTAGTGGAGAAAGCCCTAAAATCAAGTTTAAAGAGTGCAGCCGTCTTCTCTTTGGAGAATTTTCGAGTTCAGATGCTGTAGAGGAGAAAAGTTGAGTTTTTGGAGAGATTTTCGAATTTTACTGTTCATCGGCACTGTTCATCGGGTACTGTTCATCGGTACTGTTCACGGGTTACTGTTCATCGGTACTGTTCATCCGCGATTCGGCACTGTTCATCGTCCTTCCTTTTTCCTTCAGTTTCAGTCAATTGTCAAGGTGAGTGCATGACTGTGGGTCCGTGATTTGCTAGATTAGATTTGGTTTGTGGTTGTTCTTGATGAGTTTATGTTTTAATTGTTATTTTTATGATATTTTGGTTGTTCATGTGATGAATTGTGTGTTTGTGTGGTTTAATCTGGTTTATTGGTTTAATTGAATTTAATTGATTTGATTCTGGTTTATCTTGGTTCAATTGAATTTAATTGGTTTAATTGAATTTAATTGGTTTAATGGAATTAAATAGATTTAATTCGGATTTAATTAATTAAATAATATTTATTTAATTAATTGGTATTATTTTAATTATTTTAAAATATGGAAAATTATTATTTAATTATGAGAATTATTTAATAATTGAGAAATTGAGTTTTAATTATTAAAAATTATTTAATAATTGGAAAATGGTATTTAATAATTATTGAAGTTTATAAATATTATTAAATATCTAGTAAATTGCGTAAATGGCTCGTAGGCAGAGTGATTGCCTCACTAAGTATTTATTAAATACTTACGCAACTCCATTCCAATGTGTTGCAGGTAAAAGATTTGTGTGATCGCGGAATCAAGGCTGAAGAGGGGGATGATAGGATGTTTACTGTTTTATTGTTTTGCATTATTTTGCTAGACTTGTTTAATTATTATTTGCTTCCGCTGAGCTGATTTATTTGTTATTGATATTTTATTTATTTAATTTATTTTTAAGACCTTCGCTAGAATTGATTAATATTTATTAAAAAAAAAAAATGTTGGTTGTTTCATTTTGGTATCAGAGCCTAGACGGTTTTAGGACTGTTAGAATTGCTAGGCTTAGTATCATCCCCTTCAGCTACAAGAGATTCCGCGGTGAGTTTATGTTTGTTTTGAGTTTTGGTTGCGTGTTCTAGTGTGCTCTTTTTGGTTCCATGAGTGAGATGGACTGAGTAGCTAGAGGTTGTGGCGCGAGAGGGCGCGGTGCTCGAGGCCGTGGTGGCAGAGCTAGAGGCCGTGGAGGCCGGGGCCGAGGTCGTGGACTTCGGCGGATTCGGGAGAGAGTGTGGCGCCGTGTGGCGACTGCGTCGGTGACCCAGTCGGTATCCGTGGCGAGTGAGGCCAGTGTGGATGCGAGTGTTGGTTTGGGAGCGGGGGCTCCGGGTGGGGTGGTGCTCCGGCTCAGGGTCTTGATGACTTAGTGGTGGGTTTGCTGACGCAGTTATTGGCTCGTTTTCCGCCAGTGGTTCCACAGGGGCTCCGGGAGTACCTCCAGTGGCAGAGGTGCAGCAGAGGGCTGCGGGTTTGTTCAGCCGCAGGCTGTGGGTTTGATGGTGCCGTCCTTTGGATATGGGGCACATGCAGAGGATTGGTACGCCGTACTTTGAGGGCGGAGTTAGCCCAGAGGCGGCAGATTAGTGGCGTTAGAGATTGGAGCGGAATTTCCAGTCTATCAGATGTTTGTTTAGTACAGGTTGGAGTTGGCAGTCCACTATCTGAGTGGAGACGCGCATTTGTGGTGGTTGTAGTTTGTTCTTTTTGTATGTGATAGAATTGTGGAGGTTCTCAACGCAATTGAATGTGTAGGGACCTTGTTAGTGGGCGGTTTTGAGTCCCACGTTTTATTCGACTCTGGAGCATCGAATTGCTTCATTACACCGGAGCGTGCCGAGAAGAGTGGCATCCGGAGTAGCGCGGGCGAGAGCGCGGGCATGGTCAAGGTGGCGGGAGGTGGATTCTTGTCTACTTTGGGCCGTGCTAGAGGAGTCGAGATCGAGATTGCGGGGCAGTCAATGCCAGCAGACTTAGTCATCAGTCCGGTGGAGCTGTATGACGTTATTCTCGGGATGGACTGGTTGTCACACTACAGAGTTCATCTGGATTGCTACAGAGGTAGAGTGGTCTTCGAGCGAGATGCAGGGAGGTTGGTTTATCAGGGAGTGAGACCGACTTCCGGGAGTATTGTGATATCTGCTATTCAGGCCGAGCAGTTGTTAGAGCGGGGCTGTGAGGCGTATCTGGCGACGATTTCTATGTCTGAGTCAGGAGCTGGAGTTGTTATGGGAGATATTGAGGTTGTCCAGGATTTTGAGGATGTCTTTCAGTCACTGAAGGGATTACCACCATCTCGGTCTGATCCTTTCACGATTGAGTTAGAGCCGGGGACAGCACCGATATCGAAGACGCCTTACAGGATGGCGCCAGCTGAGTTGGCAGAGCTGAAGAAGCAGATAGAGGACCTTTTGTCTAAGGGGTTCATTCGACCGAGTGTTTCACCGTGGGGAGCACCGGTGTTGTTTGTGAAGAAGAAGGATGGCAGTTTCAGACTTTGTATCGATTACAGAGGTCTTAACCGAGTCACTGTGAAGAACAGGTACCCACTCCCGAGGATTGATGAGTTGTTGGATCAGTTGAGGGGTGCTACTTGGTTCTCCAAGATTGACTTGGCATCGGGGTATCATCAGATCCCGATAGATGAGGCAGATGTCAGGAAGACTGCTTTCAGGACGCGTTATGGGCATTTTGAGTTTGTGGTTATGCCTTTCGGTTTGACTAACGCGCCGGCAGCCTTCATGAGATTGATGAACGACGTGTTCAGGGAGTATTTGGACGTGTTCGTCATCATTTTCATTGATGATATTCTGGTATACTCGAGGAGTCAGGAGGAGCATGCGACTCACTTGAGGTTGGTTCTGGAGAAGCTTCGGGAGCAGAAGCTTTTTGCTAAGTTGAGCAAGTGCAGTTTCTGGCAGCGAGAGATGGGATTTCTTGGCCACATTGTTTCTGCAGAGGGAGTTTCTGTGGATCCGGCTAAGATTGAGGCTATCAGAGATTGGCCTAGACCTAGTAGTGCCACCGAGATCAGGAGTTTTCTGGGTTTGGCAGGATACTACAGGAGGTTCGTCAAGGGGTTTGCTACCATGGCGCAGCCGATGACGAAGTTGACCGGGAAGGATGTCCCTTTTATTTGGTCAGCTGAGTGTGAGGAGAGCTTTAGTCAGCTCAAGGAGATGTTGACTACTACACCAGTGTTGGCGTTACCCGAGCCAGGGAAGCCTTACATGGTGTATACAGATGCTTCAGGCATTGGTCTTGGTTGTGTGCTGATGCAGGAGGGCAGAGTGATAGCATATGCTTCGAGACAGTGGCAGGGCAGTGAGCGTAACCGTCCTACACATGACTTAGAGTTGGGAGCAGTGATCTTCGCGTTGAAGATTTGGAGGTCTTACTTGCTAGGTGAGACAGTACAGGTCTTCACGGATCACAAGAGTTTGCAGCATATCTTCACTCAGCCGATGATGAACGCGAGACAGACGCGCTGGGTTGAGTTCTTGGCGGATTATCAGGTGAGCATTAACTACCATCCGGGCAAGGCTAACCTAGTGGCGGACGCGTTGAGTAGACGGAGGTATGATTCCGCAGTTGAGCGAGATGTGGAGTCTCTAGTTGGCGAGATCAGTACCTTGCGTTTGTGTGCCATTTCGCATGAGCCTTTGGGTTTAGAGGCAGTGGATCAGGCGGATCTACTTAGCAGGATCAGAGTTGCTCAGCAGAGTGATCAGAGTTTGCTAGATGCGACGAGAGTGACTGGTTCTGAGTATGAGGTCTCTGCGAATGGGACTATCTTGGTTCGTGGGCGAGTTTGTGTGCCTAAGGATGTGGAGTTGAGACATCAGATTTTGGGAGAGGCTCACGCGAGCAAGTTTTCCATTCATCCGGGAGCGACCAAGATGTACCATGACCTCAAGAGGTACTATCATTGGGTCGGGATGAAGAGGGATGTAGCAGACTGGGTTGCGAAGTGCAACACTTGTGCCTTGGTGAAGGCAGAGCATCAGGTTCCGGGTGGTCTTTTGCAGAGTTTACCCATTCCAGAGTGGAAGTGGGACAGGATTACGATGGATTTCGTGGTTGGACTACCTGTTTCGAGGACTTTCGATGCTATCTGGGTGATTGTGGATCGGTTGACTAAGTCTGCACATTTCTTGGCCATCAAGAAGACAGATGGAGCTGCTGTCTTGGCTAGGAAGTTTGTGCGAGAGATTGTGAGGCTGCATGGAGTGCCAGCTAGTATTGTGTCAGACCGTGATCCCAGATTCACTTCAGAGTTTTGGAGGGCGTTTCAGGCAGAGATGGGCACTAAGGTGCATCTGAGTACAGCTTATCATCCGCAGACAGATGGTCAGTCAGAGAGGACTATTCAGACTTTGGAGGATTTGCTGAGGATGTGTGTGTTGGATTGGGGTGGCCATTGGGCAGATCACCTAAGCTTAGTTGAGTTTGCATACAACAACAGCTTTCAGGCGAGTATTGGCATGGCTCCATTTGAGGCTTTGTATGGGAGGCCATGTAGGACACCCCTATGCTGGACCCAAGTGGGGGAGCGCAGCATGTATGGAGCTACTTATGTTCAGGAGACGACAGAGAAGGTTCGTGTTGTGAGGCTGAACATGAAGGAGGCTCAGGATAGGCAGAAGAGTTATGCAGATAGACGCAGACGAGAGCTTGAGTTTCAGGTTGGAGATAGAGTTTATCTCAAGATGGCTATGTTGAGGGGTCCTAACAGATCCATAGCAGAGAACAAGCTGAGTCCGCGATTTATGGGTCCGTTTCCAGTAGTGGAGCGAGTTGGGCCATTAGCTTACAGGCTGGAGTTGCCTGAGATTATGAAAGCCTTTCACAAGGTTTTTCATGTGTCGATGCTGAGGAAGTGTCTTCACCTACAGAGGAGTTAGTGGCTAGGATTCCAGAGGATCTTCAGCCAGATTTGACCGTGCCGGCAGTGCCTATGAGGATTTTAGAGAGGAGGGAAAAGGTTCTGAGGAACAAGAGGATTCCCTTACTGAGGATTTTGTGGGATTGCAGTGGTTCTACAGAGGAGACTTGGGAGCCAGAGGCAAAGATGAAGTTGAAGTTCAGGAAGTGGTTCGACAAGCAGGTCGAGGAGTGAGCTTATTTCATCTTTGTAGCCTCAGTTGTTATTTTTGGCTTTGGTGTTATTGTATTTTCGTTTTCGTTGTAACGATTTACATTTTGGAGTTTTAATGAGATGCAGTTTTTCCTCATTTTGCCTTGTGTTGTGAAAAGGTATTCGGATGTTACACATGTTTGACCAGTTTTTGGTTGTGAGACGGTCTAATCTTATGGTTATAGACATTTTCCGGAATTTTTACTCTAAGGATTGCGATCCTGAATAACTCATCATGTTTTTGGAGACTTCGTTCTCTGGCAGACTCTCTGGGTGCAAGTAGGCCTCAGTTGAGTGTAGCTTATATGGGTGCAAGTAGGCCTCAGTATAAGCAGTTTAGTTCATCTGGGTGCAAGTGGGCCTCAGTATGGACGTTTTCGGGTTCGTCTGGGTGCAAGTGGGCCTCAGTGCGGACCGGTGTGGACTTGTCTGGGTGCAAGTGGGCCTCAGTACAAGTTGTTTGGTGTGTTTGGATGATGAGTTAGGAGTGAAATTTTCTTGGAACGTGTTTATGACATAAGATATGACGTTTGTCTCGGGGATCAAGTGAGGATCTCCGGTGTTGCGGCCTTGCGAGGTTGGGTTTTGTGGTCTTTGTGACGTTTGCGTTGGGATTCGAGGACGAATCCAGTTTAGTGGGGAAGAGTTGTAACATCCATAAACCAAAAATAAAAATTGGGAATTTTGTCGGTTCAATTTAAGTGAATTGGTTTGGGTCGGTTTAGTGGAGAAAGCCCTAAAATCAAGTTTAAAGAGTGCAGCCGTCTTCTCTTTGGAGAATTTTCGAGTTCAGATGCTGTAGAGGAGAAAAGTTGAGTTTTTGGAGAGATTTTCGAATTTTACTGTTCATCGGCACTGTTCATCGGTACTGTTCATCGGTACTGTTCACGGGTTACTGTTCATCGGTACTGTTCATCCGCGATTCGGCACTGTTCATCGTCCTTCCTTTTTCCTTCAGTTTCAGTCAATTGTCAAGGTGAGTGCATGACTGTGGGTCCGTGATTTGCTAGATTAGATTTGGTTTGTGGTTGTTCTTGATGAGTTTATGTTTTAATTGTTATTTTTATGATATTTTGGTTGTTCATGTGATGAATTGTGTGTTTGTGTGGTTTAATCTGGTTTATTGGTTTAATTGAATTTAATTGATTTGATTCTGGTTTATCTTGGTTCAATTGAATTTAATTGGTTTAATTGAATTTAATTGGTTTAATGGAATTAAATAGATTTAATTCGGATTTAATTAATTAAATAATATTTATTTAATTAATTGGTATTATTTTAATTATTTTAAAATATGGAAAATTATTATTTAATTATGAGAATTATTTAATAATTGAGAAATTGAGTTTTAATTATTAAAAATTATTTAATAATTGGAAAATGGTATTTAATAATTATTGAAGTTTATAAATATTATTAAATATCTAGTAAATTGCGTAAATGGCTCGTAGGCAGAGTGATTGCCTCACTAAGTATTTATTAAATACTTACGCAACTCCATTCCAATGTGTTGCAGGTAAAAGATTTGTGTGATCGCGGAATCAAGGCTGAAGAGGGGGATGATAGGATGTTTACTGTTTTATTGTTTTGCATTATTTTGCTAGACTTGTTTAATTATTATTTGCTTCCGCTGAGCTGATTTATTTGTTATTGATATTTTATTTATTTAATTTATTTTTAAGACCTTCGCTAGAACTGATTAATATTTATTAAAAAAAAAAAATGTTGGTTGTTTCATTATTAAACAAAATTTGATCAATTTTAAAAATAAGAAAATAATATTAAAAACCCGATAACAAATCTCTAAATAAAAATATGTAGTTTTTACATTTTTATTTTGAATTCATGATATGAAATAGAAAGATTTACATGTGTCTAAATCTAATCGACTCATTATTTTATGAAACTTTGTTTATTCCATGATGAAATCTTTATTTTTAATAAACTTTTACCTAACAAAACATGAAAAATTAAACTATTTATTATTAGAAGATTAGTCCATTATAAAATTTTCTTTTTTAATATTATTTAATTCCTTAATAATTATTTTGTTAGTTTTCTATTTATATTCTTTCTTTTTCATTTCATATTTGGCTCTGCCATTATAAATTTTCATTTTATTTATTAGTTAGTTGTTTTAATATTATTTTGTTAGTTTATTTATTTATGTTACTACATTTTTCCAATTTTCTTGTGTTGACACATGTTATCACTTCATCAAATATTAGATATATGTGTCGATCTAAAGTTAAGTATTCTTTAATGATATATTTAACTTTTAAAGACATGAATTTTATTTCTTAATGAGAAAGAAACTTAAAAAATATAGGTTGTTATATATTTATTTTTTTCATTTTCGTAATAGGAATATGTTTTTTATTCCTTTTCTTATTGGATGTAACATTTTTTAATTATTTCTTCATGTTTTTTTTCTTCTGATTTTCGTTTTTTTTCCTTTTCGTAATAGAATTATGTTTTTCTTTACTTCTCATAATGGATGTAATATTTTTTCCTTTTTAATTGTTTGTTTCCTGTTTTCTGATTTTTCCTAATGTACTAATAGGATTTTATTCAAATTATTTTAATTTCGATCCAATTGACCTAGAGTCAAATAATCTCCACTGTTCTCTTGAACTTTCAAAGTCATGATTTTGAAATTAGAGAAAGAGAATCAAAGAGATTTTTTGAATTTTTTTTGATGAGTTTGTGAATGTGAAAAAGAGACCACAATAGCTCTCTTTTTATAGGGGGTTCATGTAACCAATTTCATATAAGTTTAGGATATTTAGTTTATATACCTATAACATGTACTAATAGAATTTTTTTAAATAGGAGTTTATATAACTTATTCCATACAATTTTAGGATATTTAGTTTACATACCTATTCCATATACTAGTAGAAATTTCTTATTACATTATTTTTATTTTATTATATAAAATTTCTTTTTATTATAAGATATTAAAAATTTCCTTTAAAAAAAAAAAAATTATATACACGTGTCACGATCTTAACGGATATAATCTTAAAAGTGACACATGTCGCGATCCTATATTTTATAAAAATCTTATGTGTCGCAACCACGTCGTACGCATCCAGCTTTATATAATAAGATAAGGGATAATTTGATCACATAACTAAACTATATTGAAAAAACATTGTTCGTTATATTTTTTTTGTTTTGTTTTAAGTTCGTTATATTGTTATCAACCAATTCACATGCTCTTAAGGCCAGTTTTAGAATTTTAATTGTTGTAGGTTTAAGAAACACATCATTTATGTTTTCTTTGTAATTTATCTGAAAAACAAAAGAAAAACCTTGAACATGTCCGATTTCATTGTCTACTCCTCATTCTAAATCATCTTATTCATCATCACCTATAGAAAAGACCAAAAAAAAATCAAACCAGATTTAAAAGACAAGATAGACACAATAGTTTCTATGTGGCCAATTCTATGAGGCCTTCACAAACTTTTATGCAATGTTGTCGACAATTCTCTCACGGTTTCACATCGTTGCTTTAGGTTGTTTAAATCTTGGGTATTTTGATTATGGGAATTTTGCACATACACTATACACTGTACATTATTAGCGCCGACTTCAAAATGAAAGAACTGTATAAACATCTCCATTGATGAGATATCACGTAAGTATCTCAATTATATAATGCTATTATTTTTAGCATGATTTTTTATATAATTAAATTTGAAGATTTTTTTAAAAAATCATATAATGTTATATGATAAAACATTTATAAATTAATAATGGAAATCATTGTGGACCTAACAAATTTGGGTTTTGTCCTAAGAACCAGGTTTGGTATGGCTACCTTTCGCTCACTATTTGCAGGCCAACTCAGACGAAACAAATATACATCGGCCAGAAAAAAAATAAAAAAAGAATTGCTTAACTTTTTAGATTTGGGATTACAACAAACAAGGAAACCTGAATTATATCACAGAAAAACAAAACGGAAAAGAGAGATTTGGACATGAACATATACATTGGTAAAAAAAGAAGAAGAGAGAATTGGACGTGAACAAATCTTCATAATTATTACTCTCTTTGTTTCATAATAAATGTCTTTAAGGTTGGGTTAATTTAGTGAATATTACCAATATAGCCATAGAACCTCTTTGGCTATAGTACATGAATACATTCATCAAGTTTTACCATAATTACCCTTAATAAACTTATACTAAATAAAAAAAATTAGTACACTTAGCTCTATTTTAAACCCAAAATCCATAACCCTATAACCTAAACTATAAATGTAAACATTAAATAAAAAAATTCTAAACCCTAGACCCAAGAAATTAAAACCTAAACTCAATAGACTAAACCATAAACCCAACAAACTAAACCCTAATTTAGAAGAAGAAAAACCCTAACCTCAAAATAACCCTAAACTCAAAATACTAAACCCAAAACCACAACTAAAACCCCAAAAAATTGAAACCAAAATCCAAAAATATAAATCTCAAACCCAAAAACTAAACCCAAAATCCAATAAACTAAACCCTAACCCCAAAAAACTAAATCCTAATTTAGAAATAAGAACCCTAACCCCAAAATAACCCTAAACTCAAAATACTAAACCTAAAACCAAAAAATTGAAACCAATATCCAAAAATATAAATCCTAAACCTAAAATCTAAACCCTAAACTCAATAACCTAACCTCAACACAAATATTTAGTTCATACTATTCCATATAAACAAAGAACAAATAGTATAGAGTAGTTTTAAGGTTAATATGGACAATAATTCAGAAAATATGGCTTGTATTCTAGCCATGGTTTTGATATGGTTGCTTTGTTAATTTGCTTCTCCAATATGATTATTCACTATAATTTCCCTTTAAGGTTTTTACACATATATTAAGAAAATTAATAAAAATTCTGTTTTACCCCTTTATTAATACACTAAACAATACTCTCTTTTTAATTAATACTAGGTGGTTGGCCCGCACCTTGTGCGGGC